TTCTTCTTTTTCTTTGTTTGTTGAAGAAGTGTTTCTTGCAGATAAAATTTGAATAATCTATGTGGTTTAATTTGAATAATTTATACACAAGGCATCACAGAGTTGTAATTGTAATTACAGTGTTCAGCTCAGCGGCAGCACGTTTGAAGCTGAATGCTGATTGTGGCACATTTCTTATGCTCTGCAATTTCATTTTGTTTTTGGCAAGGTCTTTAGAGTGCTTGGTGAAGGCTTGGAGCTTTTGCCAAATTTGTTAAAGAAAGTTGGTCAAAGAGCTCTCGCTTCCCACCACCACATTTGAAATCCAATTTTGTTTTCTTCCATCACATATTGAAAAATAAAGATGACTTTAAAAACCTAACTACCACTTCTGATTGGTGAGAGAAGAAATAATTTCTTGAGGAGAAGCAACTGCTCTCATCAAGAATTTCCTGAAGCAACAAGCCTAGAGTATAAACAATATTGTATATGGATAATTGTGGAACGAAGTATTGTTGGAAGAAATGTCCATCTGGGTTCAGTTCCTAGTGGGGAGAAAGACACTGGTAACACGGAGATTGCTTGCAAAGATGGTTTAATGGTGGACAGGACCACATGGGTTGAGGTCCTGTGAAATCAAGCACAAGGGAGAGAGGGGAAGGAGAGGGAGAGTAGGAGAGGGAGAGATTGAGAGAGATTTATGCCCTCTCTTGGGCTTTGAACTTGCTTCCTGTTCCTGTGGGCAGGGCGTGTATTCAATTGGTTGCTGTAAGGGTCATGTGCAAATCCTAGGAGTTTGTCTGAGATAAGTCTGGTTGAACTGTGGGCTGATATCATGTCCTCAGGTGATTTTGCAATATAGTGAGCCCTGATATTAGATGGGTAGAGGGCTAATCCTATCATGTCCTGTGGGCCATGTCTTAATCCCATCACCCTGGAGCTGAAGGGGGGGGTCAGGAAGCTGCAGGGGGCTGTTTTGTCTTTAAAAACATGTTTCTCCTTTTCTCATCCAGGGAAATATAATATTCTGCCTTTGAAAATATTTTCTAGAATATTTTATTCTTCCAGGAGAGAGGTAGGTGCTAAATTTCTACAGTATGTTGCTTTTTATTTCTTTATTGGATTGCTCCATGAAGATTAACCCTATGTGGCATTTGTAAAATTCCACAAGGAAGATGCATAGGTACAACCATTGCTTGAATTAAAAGGCAGGAATTACTGTATGTTGCCTTGTCAAAGGGAATATTTCTTCAAAGAAACATTATGTTAAATTATTTATTAAAATATATACTAGGGGAAAATTTTTAGATTTTGCTCAGAGACAGATCCTTAACACCTGATAGATTTTTTCCAGCTTAAAGTCTTGGGAAAAAATGGACTTCAGCCAGGATTATTGTCCATGCATGGAGCTTGACTTTGTTGACCTGAGATTTTAAAATTTAGGATCCTGAGTTTCATATTAATCCTTCCAGAGCCATGTTACCTGAATGATGGTGATGGAAATTGCACACCTTGGAATTCTTGCTTGCAGCAGTCAACATTTGCTGCAACACAGCTCTAGCTAAGAAGCAGGGTTGCAAAGGTAAAGGAATCATAGGACTACAAGGGGCCTTGGAGGCCTTCTATTCCAATGCCCTGATCAAGGGAGGAGACCTTATTGTATCCTGAACAAATGGCTGTCAAATACTTTCTTGAACACCTCCAGTGATGGAGCACCCACAACTCTGGGAGGCAAGCTGTTCCATTGATGATGGCATGGCAGATCTATTAAGTGAGGTGGACTTTCAGCTAGAAATTGGAAGACCCAATGCGTGCTTTTTTGGCTGTTCTTAGAATTTCTCGCTATTGAATTCTCCACCTCCTGTCAAGAGACCCTTCTTTTTTACCTGCATGATAAGCTTCAGTGCCTCTGGCATACAAGGGGAAAGTCTCCAACTTCTATCTGTCAGGTTGTTTGTGAAGCAGCTCCATTGGAAAAGCAAAGTAACCATCTCCTTGACTTCATTGCTGCAAAAATAAACTGCCATAGTGCATACAAATGATGGATTGGTTTAGTATTTGTAATAATCTAAACACTTGACACAGGATATAAAGAGAAAAATCCATCTTTGTTATCATCTGCAGGCAAGACTTGGAAGAAAGGGGAAGAAGCGATTGGGAAAAGGAAACAAATCCAAATAATTTTCTTGTCTTTTAAAAACTAAAATACATGATAAACTAGATGCAGTATATTAAACTTATACTTGGCATAACACACCTGTATTGTCTGAAAACAACCTGGAGAGGATTGTATTGAGAAAAACTAACCTAAAGCAGAATTAAGCATCATGTCTAAATGCAGCCTTTCTCTGTCAAATTCCATGTTCTATAGAGACAAATAACCAAAATAGCTATATAAGGTCATTTCCAGAGGGCTTGAACTGATTTTGAGCCAGATCAACAGCTTTCAGTGCAATTAAAGGATCTTAAATCTCTTTATTCAGACTTAATCGGTATTAGATTGCCAAATATTCAATACATAGTAGATATCTACTAAAACCAAATAGATATAATACTGTGTTCCCAAGATATCTAGCTTATAGAAAAAGAAAAACTGGAATGGAAGTGATTAAAAGAATCAGTACTGATTAAGACAAAGGAAGTACACAATGAAAATCACACAACTGGTTTAAGTGTTTCCTTGAGGAAATAGAAGAAGCGGGGTATATAAGAATAAATTTCACAATTAATTAAAGGCAACCCCCACCCCCGATCTAGGATGAGATAAAGAGACTTGTCTTTTCAATATAATTTATGAAATTTATCAGTGGTTTTTCTCTGCATCTTACCAATAAAGCACCAAATAGGATCAAAAGAACTGGTGATTTATACAGCTGTGTCTCCAAAGAAGGATTAAATGTTAAAGCTTTCTCCACACATGGTTCATCTGTTCAGGGGTCAAAGTAGGCTTAAACTTTGCAATTTCAGATCATAAAAGAAAATGTGAAAATCTTTAACCAGCATTGGAAAACACAGATCAGTTCCCAATAGAAATGTAATCAATGTATACATTTTGTTAGTAATTCATGTGGCCTGCAAACAAGTAAAGATAATAGTAGCTAAGGGTCTTTGAAGACATAATAGATGCATCATTATAGCAACTCTTAGAGCAGAGGGGTCAAACTCACATCGTCATGGCAGCATCATGTGATGTATTGGGACTTCCCCCCCTTTGCTAAACTGGGCGGGGGTAGGGCCAGCACATGATGCATATGGCCCATGGGATGGGAGTTTGACAGGCCTGCCTTGGAGAATCCACAAACCCCAAGGACCACTAATGTTTGAATCCTGCTGTATTCTCAGTGACAGAGAGAACAGGAAGAACAGGGAGGAGAGAACCCTTCTATCTATCTAACCTCCATTGTTCTTTCTGCATCCATTTCCACCTCAGAAAAAAAAGGGGTGTATACTTTGAGAATGGAAAAAATGGAAGGAAAATAAGCATGGAGCTTTCCTCTCTTTTGAATTGCTATTTTAGGAATTTCCAGAATATTTTTCCCCAAGGTGACAGGAATTGCAAATAGGTTGGCCTTTTTACAATATGAGTGAAGTGTTCATGAAGGGAAGATAAGTAAGGACAGGAGCAGCTTCTGAGTTGACAGCCAGCAATTCAGTATGTGGTGTAAATTGGCCCCAAGACAAAGGAGAAAGCAAGTGCACTGCTGGCTTCCCCCGGGGGAGATCAATATTCATTGGGGAAGATGCCTATGCTTATTAGGAAAATGTCATGCTGTTGCATGCATCCATAACATTTCCTCTCTTTATCAGCTACAAAAAGGCTCTGAAAATAGGCAAAAATGGCATTTCTGACAAGCAGAGAGACATACATTGAATCAGTTTAGCATTCATCTGGGCACAACGATAGTCTGTGAGAAAATGTGATTATCTGGCCAAGAACTTCACTTGACTGCATAAATCTTGCTGGTAAGAAAAGAACCACAATGTCAAAGCTGTTGAAGGAAGGTTTAATGTGTCTTCATTTTGTCAGTGTATCGAGGGACAAACAAATTGTATTGGCCTAATCACAAAGTATATTCTATTAATCACTAGAGAAATCCCAAATATTTAACTGTACTCCATATATACAGTTGCTAAATTTCATCTTGCAAATATTTAAGGGTATTCTTTGGAAGTTGGTGCCTTCGGATGCATTGTTCTACAGTCCTGATGTTTCCTAAACAGTATAATCAGATACTGCTACAAAAGAATGAAATTTAAAATTGACAGATACTGTGAAAACATCAGAGATGTAATTATATATAAAAATCATTTTATCTAAAGAATCTAAGATAAATCATGCATGGTAGATTTATACCGCAGTCGAACCATTTTCTAATATTCTGTATAGATAGAGCCTTGAAAAACCTGGAAAAAACATTATATATCCTAGCTTGAAGTCTGCATGGGCAGGATTGGAGAAAGTGAATGGATTTCTGCCTTGCAATTGCTAGTTCAGTCAAGCCATCCTAACTTGTGCATTTAACAAGAATTATTGAGAGTTTTCTTCCTATTTGCGTGAACTTATAGGAGGGTTAGCCAAAAATGTATTATTTCTTGGTCTATGCCAGGGGTGTCAAACTCAAGGCCCATGGGCCAGATGTGGCCCACAGGATGCTTAGATCTGGCCTGTGCAGCTGGCCTGGAAATAGCAAAGGATTGACCTACAGTGCCTCTGCTAGCGAAAATGGGGCATGGGGGGGCATGCTCCATTGTCAGCCTGGACGGCCTCCTGCAGTACTCTGCTAGAGGCCTCCAGAGGCCTCCCCTGTTGCTGGATGAAATGGAACCACTGTGGCTGGATCTGGCCCTCCAAGGCTCCATTTGGCCCTCTGCAGGCCTCCCCAGGCCTGTTACAGGTGAAATGGAGCCTCCATGGGCTGGAACCGGCCCTCCGAGGCTCTGTTCGTCTCTCTCCACAGACTGTGCCTGCTTTGCTAGCATCCTGGATTCCATTTACTCTTCCCACCCCATTTCCCATGGCTTTACTGTACTTACTTTTCAAAGAGCTCCAGAAGAGGCTGAGCCACATGGCAGAGAAGCGAAAGTCTTTTATTCAGAAGCCCATGAAGCTGTAAAACATGAGATGTAAGCAATAGCACATAGACAGATATTGCTTCACAGTGCTTTTACAGCCCTCTCTAAGCGGTTTTACATAGTCAGCACATTGCCCCCAACAATCTGGTTCTTCATTTTACCTACTTCGGAAGGATGGAAGGCTGAGTCAACCTTGAGCCTGGTGAGATTCGAACTGCCAAATTGCAGGCCGCCAGCAGTCAGCAGAACTAGCCTGCAGTACTGCCTTCTAACCACTATGCCACTGCAGCTCTGTAAAGAAAACAGCTTTCCTTACATCTGAATAAAAGACCGGCTTCTCTGCCATGAGGGTCTGCAGGCTTAGTTCCGATTCAGTCTGGTATGTAGTATGTGTTCTCCAGGCTGAGGGATATCAACAGTGAAATGCAGATCGTGGTTTTTGCAAATGCTTCACCTAGCATTCGGTGAGTCTTCCTCATGAAACAGTCCAGAAATGCGGTTTGCCTCTCAGTACTTATTTTATAGTGTAGGTAGAATTTGAATTTTGTGAGACCGATGAAACATGATCTCTACTATGGCATTAATGTCTGTAAGCCTGCAGAACTCCATCTAAATGTATGTATAACAAGCCTGGGCTACTGATATTTCAAGAAATCCTTAAAGAACAAATGTTTGGGCTGGATTTAGTTCCAATATGCATCTGAGGATTGATTTTGGAGAATAGTCCTGTGTGTGCAGTTGGATCATGCTACAGTATAGTAAAATGAATATACTGAACTTCTAACAATACTGTGAGAGAGACCCAGTACCTCCAGGCATATTGTGCATTCTTGGGTCATCTTACTCAACTCCCATGTTCTCAGCCGAATTCACATGGAGAGATTTTTGTGGTGATTCATGTGGCTCCTTAATTACCTGAAAGAAACAAAGGAGCCTCAGGAACGAACATCATCAAGGGGTCAAGCTATTTTCTAAAGCACCTGTAGGCCAGACAAGGAATAATGGATGGAAACTGAACAAGGAGAGATTCAACCTGGAAATAAGGAGAAACTTTCTGACAGTGAGAACAATCAACCAATGGAACAGCTTGCCCTCGGAAGTTGTGGGAGCACCCTCACTTGAGACATTCAAGAAGAGATGGGACTGCCATTTGTCAGAAATGGTGTAGGGTCTCCTACTTGGGCAGGGGGGGTTGGACTAGATGACCTATAAGGTCCCTTCCAACCAGTGGTGGGGTTCAATTTTTTTTACTACTGGTTCTGTGGGTGTAGCTTGGTGGGCGTGGCAGAGGAAGGATACTGTAAAATCTCCAGTCCGAGGTGGTATTTGCCAGTTCTCCGAACTACTCAAAATTTCCACTACTGATTCTCCAGAACTGGTCAGAACCTGCTGAATACTACCTCTGCTTCCAACTCTGATTATCTGTTATTTGTTGTCAATGACAGAATGAAGCAAATTCAATGGATTGCAGTAATTAATGAGTTTGGATTTGGAAGCAAGCAAGACTTCTTTTACCTCCCACTGGGGAGAGAGGTGGGGGATTTGCAGCATTTCTGTGCTCGGTTGTAAGGGCAAAAGATCACAGTGGCACTGCAGCAACCATAAGTTTGAAACCAGGTTGGGAGGTCTGAGGTAACTTCGAATGGCCATTAAGTGACCGGTCATATTTTGAGGAGTGCCATGCTTGCCTTTAAAAAAAAAAAAATCCTCTACTGATATTTTCCTAGCAGACAAATCTTTTTTCTGGAGGAATAAAAAAGATGATGTAAATTGTAGGTATTACTACATAAGAACTTATTCATGTAATGCCAATCTTTGGCTTTGTGCAAGATTAAATGTTTGAGCTGCAATGCGGGTAAATAACAAAGAGAAGTAAAAACAATAAAAAGAACAGACTGCATTTATACATCTGCATGCAGCTGCTGTTTACAAATCTGGCTGGAGGAACATTGACTGATGTTTTTTTCCAGTCATTTCCTCAACTTTTCTATTTAGCGAGACCTTAGCAGCTTATTTACCTGCTAGCAACCCCTTTTCTCCCAGGGTCAGTGCTCTTAATTACAATGGTACTTGTGTTTATTGCTCTAAGGTCCATCAAGTATTTTTTGCTATAACCCCTGCTTTTTGTTTTAAAAGCATCAATTCTATAATATCCATCAACCTCATTGGGGGTTCATATTTGACAGGCGAGATATCAAGGAAAGTTTATATACAGTGGCATTTATAACATGCCTGCATGCCTTTGTGTGTGTGTAGAAAAGCACAAACCGATTCCAGTAATAATGAAAGACTTTGTGGCGGTTTGTACCAAATCCAGTGCTAGGGATTCTGGTTTTCATTTTGTATTGTTTCTTCGAGGCTTCTTCCTTCAAATCATCTTTCCTTTGGGCTTTCTGCTCATTAGCATTTTAGTGTCCTTGGATTCTATTATGTTGAATCTCCCCACTTCATCACACAGCTCTTTCTCTTGTTCCAGAGTACACTTGCTATTCCTGAAGTCAAGATGTTAGACTCCAACTCCCATGATTCCCAACCAGCATAGACAATGTCTACAGATAATGGGATCTGTAGCCCAACTTAAGAAAGACTGCAAGTTTTTCAATCCTGCCCCTAAGACTGCATGGAAGGTCTTTCCTCAACCGTTCATCATCTGCTTCAAACTGAACAGTCATCCTCACTTCCAAAATATTGATTTATTTTAGGAATTCCAGTGCTTATGAAGATCCTACATTATCACATATAATTTAAGTAACAGATGCTGGGGACTTCACTGACACCTCGCAAATCCTGTATTAGATTGCAGCACACTTATTATTGCAATGTTAGTGCATCATAAATATGGCTATAAAATGCTCTAAGTTCCTGGTTACAGCATTATTCATTGTAAATATAGAGATACTTGAAACCAGTCAGATACTCTACTGTCCTACCATATGTAATTTAAATAAATGACTATTGAAATGATTTTAACAATCCCTCTGATCAACGCTATCAGTTTTATAATGTTTTCTAAGCCATAACTGTGAATGGTAGAGCTGATTCATGATATTTGTAAGTGGTGGACGCTTAGCAATCCCATTACTTAACTGCAGAGCTTGTACTTTGCATACACATCATTATGTGTTCAATTTCCAAGCCCTTTATGTCACTGATAGGTATGGAAAATGCCTTTCCTTAAATTCCTATAGAAAAAAAATGACAGGTACATTGGCCCAGTCTGTCCAATCTATTTCTGAGTTGATGTTTTGAGAACAAAATGAAAGATGACTGCAATGCTTTGTTCTCAAAATAAATAAAATAAAAAATAAAAATCTGGATAAAAATTAATTAATTACATTTCTGAACTCAGGACAAATTCAAGAAAGCCATAAAAATGGTGGATCTAACGTAGATTTAAACACTGAGCACTTACTGTTCTTCTTTTCATTTTACTTATGTTATTCCATCATAAAATCAACCAGAATTGATGTCAAAGCTATGGACTGATAGATAACATTTTTGTTTGGGCAAGGCAGAACACTTAAATTATCCTTATGCTTCACCGCAGCCTCCCATGATCGTAAAAGCTGAGTCCTACAATAGAACACTAGGATATATTCCCTGGAAGGTACAGTGGAAAAGCCACTTTTGAAATCTATCATTCTGTCTTAACCAACAAGAAGCCATATTGGCTAACAAGCATGGACTATAGCCCTCTTCTATAATGCTCCCTAACAACTTAAGGCACACGGTCTGTGAGCAAAGTAATGGCTATCTCAATTTCCCATGGATTTGTCCACTTCCATTTAAAACAATCAAAAGCCATGATGTCGTTGCCATGATTTCAACCCTGAAGTTGAGTGAGGCCATTTTGAGGCTTCAGTGTTGCCACACTGGAGCTGAGGGATAGTGAGGGGAGAGTAGAGATAGCTGGGGTGTCGGTCTGTGCTCCATTCAAAATCCAAGAAAGAAACACTCAGACTCCAATGGTTAGAGCAAAGGTTTTCTTTTACTAAATTTCAAAGTGGAAGCTACAGAGAAGATTCTGAATCTAAAGATTTTGGCACGCAGATCACATATACAAAGGGATGGAATTGTTCCCACCCCCGAAAGTTCAAAAGACTCTTCCAATTAAAAGTTCTGCATATGATCATGTGGACATCTTCAGGTGGTGATGAGGCCTCTGTCCGTCGACCTTGACATATTTTGATAAAACTTCGCAGCTGCGCAGAGGATAGAAAAACTAGGCAAGGAAATAGAAACTTAAAAAGAGGAATTTATACTCCCTCTCCTCCTTCCCGTTTACAGCATAGGAATGTAACACCTCCAGCTTTCTTCCCTTCCAATTCCCCCCTCCCCCCGTTGCTAATGACAGCTGAAAGATGGAGCAGTAAGAAAGATGCAAAGTAAGGAAGAAACAAGGCAGCACATAAGATGCAGAAGGGATCATCTTGAAGGCTGACATGGGGTTTTTGTAGCCAAAACAAAATACTTTCTCCTGCGAACCAAAGACATTCTCACAGTGATCAGAGAGAGGAGAAGTAAAGTTATCAGGCAACCGGACACCACCATGATTGGACCATGTGACTAACTGTTTGGGGAAGGAAGAAAACTTTTACTTTTAATTAGGTGAAGACCGCAAGAACATTCAGAGTCGGTTTTCACCAGCTTGTGCCAATGTGATATATCCAATAAAACTATTCTTTGAGGAATAGTTTTGTTCATTTTGGGTGTCTTACTTGGAACCCTGACACATGACTGGTGGTAGTATATCCAACATTTTGTGGTATATGAAAAAAACTACTTCCTTTCATTGGTCCTGAATCTCTCTAGGCTTCATTTGAATGAATGAGTTCAAATGAGTTACAAGTAATCCTCGACTTACAACCATTTGTTTAGTGACCTTTCAAAACGACAGTGGCACTGAAAAAAGTGAACCATGGCCATTTTTCACATATACGACCGTTGCGGCATCCTCATGGTCATGTGATTGCAATTTGGATTCTTGGCAACTGGTATGTATTTATGACAGTTGCAGCATCCCAAGATCACCTTTTGTGGCCTTCTGACAAGTGAAACCACATTCACTGAACAACTGTGTTCGTAACTTAACAATTGCAAGGATTCACTTAACAATCGTGACAAGAAAAGTTGCAAAATGGGGCAATTAACAACTGTCCTCCTCAGCAATGGAAGTGTGGGGCTCTATTGTTCTTAGTTGAGGATTTCCTGTAATGTATATGAGTATGAGAGGAAAACAAAATCTTTTTTGATCCTTCCTCCCCCCCACGCCCCCCCCCCCAATCTAAGCATGATTTTATATACTTGCTCCCATTTGCTCGTTTTCAGCCCAGTGCAGTTTTCTTTAGTCACGGCTAAAGAAGACAACATATAAAACTGCAACAGTATATCCAGATAATTAAAAAAAAACAACAAATCAAATACAGAGAAGAAATGAAAACAAATCATCTAGAATAACAATTATAATTAAGTAAATACATAACTTACAGAAGCATTTAAAAGAAGCAATGGAAATGAAAACAGATCATTGGACAAACAGAATAAATTCTAAGGTATATCACATCACATAGAGCAGTGATGGCGAACCTTTTTGTTGTGGTGTGTCAAAAGCATGTGTGCGTGCCAGCACTCACAATGCAATGCGCCCTTCCCCCCTGCGCATGCGTGTGCAAGCCACCCTTACCTGCACTGTGCATGCGCGCACCTCCCAGCTGATTTTCGGCCCATTTGAGGCTGTTTTCACCTTCCCGGGGGCTTGAGGGATGCCTGTGCAGCCTTTGGAGGCTGAAAAATGGGCCTATTTCGGCACTTCCAGTTTTGGCACTTCTGGTATTTCTGGAAGGACCATTTTTTGGCCTTCAAAAGCTGCAGAGGCTTCCCTCGAGTCCCTGGGAGGGCGAAAAAATCCTCAAATGGGCAACGATAGGTTTGCTATCACGGACATAGAGGAACGGTACCCTCATGATGCAGTAATATAATTATTTTTCTCCAGCTTCTCATTCTGACCCCTGAAAAGTCAGAGGAACAATAAATATGTTCCTGTCAGCTTTTAAAAACAACAAAAAAAATTCCTCCCCTAAAAATCAAACCTTGAAGTGTATTTTTCAAGATGTCCTTGGTGAGGAATATTTGTTTTGGAGATTTACAGTAAATGCCACCTTTGTCAAAGTTATCCAAGATGAAATGCTTCACTGATTCATGATGCCCACATACTCCCACCTGCCCCCCCCCAAAGAAAACAACCCTTAATAAAAGAAAACACATCTAGTTCAGGAAGCCTCTTGATACTGTTTTGTAATTTTGTTCACCAATAGCCCGTATTTAAAGCTAGTTCCCAGGAGTCTGTTTATGAGCAGAAAGTGCAAAGATAAGCAGTTATTTTAGAAAATGTTGCTCCCTATTGATGTATATTTCACTCAGGCTGTATATCTTAATTGAAATGAAATGTGCATGGGACCCTAGGGTTTATTTTTAGGTCTATTGAGGCATTAAATAGTTGAAAAGCAAGATTAGAGAGAAAAGAAAGGCACATTATCTTTAGTACTTCCGCAGTAGGCACCAAAAGCTCTCATCATCTTGTGTAGAAGTAGAAAATATATCCATTCCAAATAATCCAGTAATGCTACTATAATCTTCTTTTTGACCTTTTTTTTCTGTGGATCAACCTGCAGTTCCTTGGTATTTAACCTCCTTATCTATCCTTTTGAGCTTTGCCCTGTAACACTTACTCATTTTTAAGGTACAGGATTCTTTTGTCTAAGCCTTGCATGTTATCACCATTCTTCTTCTGTAACATTATCTTTTCTAATGTCCTCCAGCTATTCTTTTTGAGGGAGGATATTATTAAATTTTTGTTAGATTTATATTCCATTTTTTGTCCAGGATAGTGTAGGTCCCATTTCATCCTAGAAAAATCTGGTCATAAGGGCTCAGAGAGACATAATGGGGTAAAAGTTTCCCTAGTTGAGAGTGAACTTGAAACTGGTCTCCACAATCCCATTCCTATCATTGCTATACTATACAAAAATCTTGCATAGTTTCTGTAGCAGATTTTTGAGATTTGATTCAATGCTATTAGGTGTAATAGATTTTACATTCTGCACAAGAATAGCACAAGAATAGCTCTGCTGGAACAGGTCAAGAGTCCATCTAGTCCAGAACCCAGCCCTTTAAGTCACCAGCCTGGAAACTGGGAATCTGGGAGTTCTAGCCCTGCCTTAGGCACAAAGCCATCAAGACAACACTAGGCTAGTCCTTCTTTCTCAGTTCTATAAAGAAGGCAAGGACAAACCACGCTCAAAACTGACATTGAAGGTATCTTTGACCTCTTACCTCACAGCCAACTGAAACTTGACATGGTTGGTTAACACTTTCTAACAGCTTCTAGCACTTTTCCTTGTTTCATCCATTCTTCCACAAAAGAATTGAGGTATCTTTTATCAAATTGTTAAAGTTTAGCATGGTTTGGCTTAAACTGATTTGTCTCTGAATTTCAGTGTGGCTAGAACGGAATTGTCTTGCCGCCACCTCTGAATCTCAAATTTAAATTGGATCACAGCTCACTTCTCAGATATATTCAGGAAGTTCAGAATCATGGACAGGGCAAAGGGAAGGTACTTTAGTCAGCCCATTCAAATGAAGAATTCCTAAGAAGCCTCAACATTGCTCAGCATGCAGTTCAGAAGAATAAACAGAGCATCAATATAGATCAGTGGCAGCAGAGAAATTCCCTGGAGCCATTCAGAATTGCTGGCACTCTCCGTCATGCTATAGCAGACTGGAGCTAAATTCTTCACTTAGCTGTGGTGTTTTGTCAGCTCCAAGAGCTACAGAATCTCCATTATGCCTCCTACAAGAAGTTGCTGTACTTTTCTTACATTCTAGCTTTCTGATGTTTGAAAATATTGTTGCTCTTACTTTTCATGCCATGTATTAATTTGCTTATGTTTGAGTAGATAGTTCAGCCTCCCTTAGTTCTGGCACTATTCTGCTATTTTCAGATAGGTTCACAATTAATAAGATTTGAGGATGATTACTAATTCTGGTGGGATTAAAAGAGAACCAAAAAAATTCATGAGCTATCTAGGACTATCCCCCTCAGAGGTTCATCATTAGCTCTGAAGTAGCTGGCCTCCAAAGGCCAAATAGGAGAGAACAAGAGCAAGAAAGGGATATAGTTCCGTCTCCTGCTGGAACATCTCCGAAGGATTGGCCTGGGTGAGAAACAAAACGCTGTGCTAAATGGGGCTTGGGCTACTCCAAAAGATCTATTGTTAGGCTTTCATTGGGTGGATTCTGTTATGTTTCTGAACTGAGAGGGAGAAAATGCCACACAATGAATTGAAATAGATATTTTGGTGACAGGAACTTTGATATTATATATAATTGCATTGTGATAAAAAGTTCTTTTTTCCTAAGACCTGTCCCCATTCCATTTTCCTAGTCAAAATTGAATTATATTTTAGAGATATGAATGTTATATTATTCTGAAACCTAATGCAACCATACTTGCCTTGTCAAAAGGTTGTATTGGAGTTAGCTACTTGTCAGTTGTACAATAGATTTCCTTCTTCAGCACTGACAACTGCAGTGCATATTGTTGCTCTTGACACTTTCAATTTCTGTCGATTTCTGTCCCTTTATTCTTTTATCTCCAAGCATTTGATCTCAGAAAAGTGACTATATGTGTGTGTGTGTGTGTGTGTGTGTGTCATATATATATATGCAGTCTTTCTACTTGCACCCCCTAGCAAAATAGCTAATTAGGTAGCAAAATGTTATAAAGTAATTGCATTGATCCAACCCAATAATGCTTTCTTGGTTTTATAATATAAGGATTATATTATGTATGTTTGAGAATTACAATGACTTTAAAATGTATCTAAGATTTGTCTGCTTCTCACAAAGAAGCAATCAGTTTATTACTCGGGACATGAAAAGCAAAGAAGGAATTAGATTGCTTTCATAGTTAGGAAGATATAGCAAGAACAGTACCTGACTCCAATGGAATCAGTGATTGAATAATTAGACCTAGTGGTCAGCCCTTTTTTTCCAAATAATTTTGTTAAAGGTTTTACTAAAACAACAAAAGATAAAAGAAACTAAGGGAAAGAAAGAAAAGAATGACAAGAAAAACTTACTTTTTTCCCTCTTCTGGAATTTTTTATATTTTCTTTGATTTTTTCCCCCTTGAGTGAGATTTAAGTCCTGGAATGGAAAAGGCCTTATGAAGCATAAGCTCCATAGTGATTTCCCTTCATAAGTTGGAAACTTACTTTTTGAAATTGGGAGCCTGTTCTCATTTCACGTGTCGGTTGTGGAACCCTGAAAACTCAAAGATCCAGATTCAGAAAACGCTTCCATTTAAAAAAGTTGACTATGGAACTTATGGGAGGTGATGGAGATGGAGATGAGAGAGTACAGATAATACATTCATCCTTATTTTCAAATCCCTCTGATACTGAGTGAAAACAGTTTGAACATCTCAGTAGGGCTTTACTTGAAAATAAAGATGCTTTCAGGTTAAGCATGATTTCTGATGACTGCTTCTAATCAAATGTCTTAAAATTTTCATTTGGTCTTCCATTCAAGAACTAACTCAATTTGACCCCACTTGGCTTCAGAGATCTGCCAAGACTGGAAATATATTTAATACTATATTAATGATTATAATATCTCTTGGCTGCCATTTGTACTTAACTTATTTTTTGTGTTGGGCTTTAATCATTTTAATTGTTTTTATGATTGTTCATTGTTCAGAGTCACTGGCTATAAAAATTGAGTAAATAAATAAATAATTGAAATACAGAAAAAAATAAATCCTTTGATTTTTGACAGTGTTTATTACCATAGTCCTAAATACATAGAGTTTGGGTTCAGGAACAAAAATATTAACAAATGTATTATTAATGTACCTATTGATCTATCTGTTCATTAGTTAGCTCTTCCACAATAACATTCAGATCTAATCAAATAAAATAATAGGCCAAAAGCTGATCACCATGAAGAATAGTTTCAATATGTGTATACCCTGGCAGGAGATTTATATTTGTTGCTTCAAATTTTTAAGGTCTTTTAAAAATTCATCAAGTGATATTGAAATTATAATATTTTCTAACCTTCGGGATCTTTGTGACAAAGCCACATTAGGGGCTTGCATTCTTCAAATTATCAGGAATAGATGTATGATTTGATATTTATTTATCATTTAAATTCAGGTAAAATACATCCTGCTTTTCTATTTCTCAAGAAACAGTCAGGGTAGTTTACATTATAAATTAAATAAGAACTCAATCAACAATTATTCTAAAAACAAAAGTTTGAATTGTTAAGTTTATTTAAAACAGATAATTTTTGTTTCCTTTCTCAGTTTATGGGTATTCGAGATACGGATGATAACAATGCTTTCTCAATTCCTCAACCACTGACATGTATATGTGGATCTATACATATATCTATGGCTGAGCAAGATAAGATGATTTATAATCTATAACTATTGGTTTATACAACATAGTAAGCCAAAGCAAAACCAACCATATTATTGAGTATTAAGTGAAATAGTTGGATCTTTGGTCTGATTTGGAAGGGTTATTTTCAGGATATTTTATCTTTATGGATGAACACTTTATTAATTTAAATAATCTTATCCAATATGCTCTAATTCTGTAAAGCATCAGTTCATCTGCTACTGTAAATTAATGCTCTTTGTAAGAACATCATTTATCATGTAGAATATAGTACAATAGCTGCAAAACGAACATTTTTCTTGTGAAACGCTTTCTGTTCTTATACATGAAAATATTTTGTTATCCAAGTTCATGGAGCAGCTCTGCTCCTGTTTCACCATTCATGTGCCATGTCAATCAACTTGCATATAAGTTCTAATGTTATGGAGGACAAAGGTAAACAGATCTAGGTGGAAGCCCTCAGGTTCAAAGGCAGAGAATTCTCATTACATTAGAGGGAATTGTAGCTTGAAATGTCCTATTGATAGGTTCATTCAGATGCCAAGCTGAGCACACAGATAGAAAACAGTACAGAAGGAGGAAAGGCAGACTACTATTATAGGCTGCTAAGCTCATTTCACCTGCAAGGGGAGAATATTGATTTCATTCATCTCACTTAGCTGTTAGTATGACTCAAGGAAAAACGGGGAGGGGAAGAGTCTATGTTCAATGACATTAACTGTGAAATGACACCATTAGAGCTGAGGAAATAAAAGGCAGCTGCTGAAATGATAAATGTAACTTCATTAAATGAATTTAAAAACACACTTTGTCTTCATAAGGAAATGGAGCAAGAACTGTGGGTTCTGGGTGTAGCTTTGGTCTGTGTGCTGACCTTTGAAACACACTTGATAATAAATGAGGTTTAAATTATGGTGGATTATTCATAATTCATTCATGATTAGCATACAAAAACAAGCAGGTGCAGCCTACATAGTTCAGCAGTCATTTGACTGAATTAGTTCAGTAATGGTAGAAAAAGTAGAGAACAAGACCCACTAGTAATTTTGATATTAAATCAAATGTTTCTACAAGCAAAATAGGGATAAAAATGATGGATAAAGAAAAGGAAAGGCAAAAATCCTCAAAACAACAAACCTAGAATAAAGAATAACAAGGGTCTGGAGATTTTAGAGAAGTATTGGACTTGAATAAAGAAGGAAGCAACAGAAGGCTACACCGATGTTGGTGGTGATGAAGAGGGTCATTATGCAAAGAAGAGAGAACTTCCTGAAAATTTCTGATAGGTTTTTTTCAGCATCTCATCTAAAAGCTCTGTGATATGATTGCAAGTAAAAATGGAATTCAAATTTATTGCCTGATTGGAATCAGGAGATATCAATCGGAAAAATGTCCCTGCTTTCTCAACTCTATCCCTAAGATACTTTATTTATGGTGAGCCAGGATGAAGTTAAAAAATGTACAGGTAAACCTCAAGCTCCAAATATAATGGAGCCTGCCCATTCCATTCATAATCCAACGATTCGTGGGAGACAATCTCGTACCTTGAACAGGATCATTCCCTCCTTTCACCCACGCATTTGCTAATCGAATGCGAGACTCGTTAAGTGCACATTAGGTATTTCAGGATGGGAGAGGCCATGAGGGGGGCTAGTGATGGAACGGACCACCTACCTAAGACCACCCAAGGCCTCCCCGACCCACTGAAATACCTCATGCTCCCCACAATTGCTTCCCCTCACCAGGTCACTTACCTTGTGAAGATCTAGCAAGCAGTCTTCTCTCCAGCCTCTCAGCACATGCACCCCTCCAATGCTCTGTTGGGGCCTCCACAGGCCTTATTTGGCATGTTGCCAGCCGGCAACGTGAAGACAAATGTTGCAGAGCTTCTGTGGTTGTTTGTAAGGGTGGACAACTGTTGTGGTACTACAA